CGCCGCCTTCAAGCCATCCGTGCGAGCTAGGCTATCCGGCGACGTATCCTTTTACCTCTCAGAGCTCTATCTCCTGTGTGTGTTCGCCGCTGCGACACCACTTTTCTAAAATAGCAGCGAGACGTCTTTTTCAGGATGCCTCGCACTTCCTGCGGCTCGTGCAGAGCCCCGCTCAGCGTTGGAGACCGCCATGTGATCTGCGCTCTCTACCTGGGCCAGGAACACGCAGCGCTCGCTCTCTCGTTGGGAGGCTGCGAGCACTGCGGCGAACTTCCGATGTCGACCCTGCGGGCTCGACTCGAAGTTTTCAACCCAGAAGCTGTTGCGCCTTTTCTCTAAGGCCGTCGACCGACTCGGCCTCGAGTGGTCACCGTCTAATAGGGATGGGAATTGATAAGAATTTAACGATTCCGATTCCATTATCGATATTGCTTATCGATTCTCTTATCGATTCTCATTGGGTGAGGGAATAAGTACAGGGGTGTTATAAGGGTATTAGAGGAGTGAACCTACACTGGTTTCACGGTTCGGTTTGGTTCGATTACGATTATGTCATCGATTCAGGTCAATTCGATATCTCGATGCATTACGATGCACTGCATCCTCAATTTTCACTTTTACTTCAAAAGTGATGTGTGCATGCGCGAGTGTGTGCGCGTGTTTGCCTGTTCGGGAAGTCACAGTGACAGAAACAGTGACATTCCAGTTTAAGTTTCATGAGACTAAAGTCTGTTTATGCCATTAAGAAAATTAAATTCTGTCAAATCAATTTTGTTTTAAAGAAATGTTAATTTAAAAGCAGCGCTCATTCATCAGTGTATAATATTAACCTAGAGATGCGCATCAACCGACGCCGAGTCCGCTGTTGAAAGTGACGATCATCCATTTATCGCGTAACAACACAGCATAATTGTAATTTGACCATCGGGTGCGGATACTTAAATCAGAGAACATTATTAGGGTGGGTGGATGATTTGTTTTTGACTGCGGATTCGAGTGACGTTTCTCATTGAGTATTTGCGCAAGTTTGTGTGTGTGTGTGTGTGTGTGTGTGTGCTCGTGTCTCATATGAGTAAGTGCGTGCCTGCGTGGAGAGTTTGTGTGTGTGCACGCGCGCGTCTCATATGAGTATGTGCCTGGAGAATTCCGCGCATCTCGTGTGTGTAGAGTTTGCGTGTATGTGCGTGAGCCCGCGCCTAACAGACTCGACGGCTGTTTTCTTCACCACCGCCGTCAAGCGCCCGCATCCAGGCCTGCGCCTTTCCTGCCGGAACTCCACACTGAGCTTACAAAATCGTGGAATGCTCCATTCTCCGCGAGGCTCCAATCTCACGTCTCCACGTCGCTCTCCCAGGTGGACGGCGCCGCCAAGAAGGGATACACCTCTATCCCCCCCCGTGGAAGAGGCGGTCGCAGCGCACCTTTGTCCGCCCTCCGCGATATGGCGCTCAAAGTCTGCTCTCCCGTCCAAAGCCTGCAGGACCACGTCCACCTTTGCCGGCCGCACGTATGTCGCCGCCGGACAGGCCGCGTCCGCCCTTCACTCGATGGCTGTACTACAGATCCTCCAGGCCGATCTCCTCCATGAATGGGATGAGAAAGGCCCGGACCCAGCTGCCGTCACGGACCTGAGAAGCGCGACGGATCTTTCCCTTCGCGCTACTAAGTCTGCAGCTCAGGCCTTAGGAAGGTGCATGGCCGCGCTAACCTTCACAGAGAGGCACCTCTGGTTGATGCTTGCTGACATGAGGGAGTCTGAGCGCGCCACGTTTCTCAACGCGCCGCTCTCCCCCCTGGTCTCTTCGGCCCAGCGGTGAACGGTATCGTCGACCGCTTCTCCGAGGTGCAGTAGACCACGCAAGCCATGAACCTGTTCCTGCCGCGACGCTCTAGTTCCTCTGCAGGCTGCCTGCACGAACCGCTTCACAGCGCCCAGCACAGCCTAGCCAGCCCTCACAACGGCAACAGGGCGGCCGCCCTAGGGTACCTGCCGTCACAGGCCGCCTCCCCCACGGGGGCCTTCGGCTGAAGATCGCGCTAAAGCCCGAGAAGGCGAAGCCCTCCTAGCGGCAGCAAGAGGGAAAAAACGTCTGAGTCCCGCCCCGGCCAGACCGCCGTCAAAGCTCCTCTCCCTGTCAGTCCCCTTCGAACAGGCTACTGCAGTGGTACATTCAGCAGCCAACGAGCCGGTAATACGACCCGCTCGCCTGCACACAACCGCCGTTTTCACGGCGACCAAGAGAAATCTCATAAAGAGTACAATGTCATGTTATCCAGCTCACGCCGATGGTGTTTTAAGTGTAGAAAAAGTGCCCATATGTCAGTGTTCACCCCTACACACAAGCACAACACTTCCCGTATCACCCACAGAACCCACTCTCATAAAGCTGGCAAATGGCGCTCGAGTGTTAGATGTAGGAAATGTGCCCACGAGCCCGTGCCCACGCCTACTCTCTGCCCGCTCTGTCACACGGCCAAAACTGCCTCATATCGGTCAGGTTATGAATATAAGTCCCGTGCCCACTCACGAGCGCTCACGCTTATTAACACACACCTCTCCCCAGACGCTGCCCACGTCTCTCGAAATTGTCACAAAGCGCTCCCCATCCCATATAAGTCCCCTGCCCGCTCACAAGCGCTCACGCTTACTAATTAACACTTCGCCCAAGGCGCCACTCGCGCATCACAAAGTGATCACAAAGCGCTCCCCATTCATAGCAATCGGGACGTCACATACGAAACAGCCTGCCACAGCTGTCAGTGAGCCGCCGGGTTTGAGCACCGAGGGCGCGCGCGCCGCGCCCATACCTCCGGTTCAGTTTCTCTAACCCACACAGTGCGGCGATCAGAACCCGGAGGCCATCCTGCCCCTAGCTACATGTATGGGAAGCGCGTGGGAAGCGATTCCCGGGGTGTCAGAATGGGTGCTAAGCACAATAAGGCAGGGCTATTTGCTACAGTTCGATCGTCGTCCCCCGCGCTTTCGAGCACGGATCGCGACGACAGTGAATGTGGAAGTAGCACATCTACTCCGCGCAGAAATAGCGAAGCTGCTGTGCAAAGGGGCCATAGAACTGGTACCGCCTTCTCTGAGCGAGTCAGGCTTTTACAGCCGTTATTTTCTCGTACCGAAGAAGGACGGGACACTCAGACCTATTTTAGATCTGAGACATTTGAACAAAGTTCTTGTGAAAAGACCGTTCAAAATGCTTACGACCAGAAAAATCCTCGCGCACGTTCGTCCGAGGGACTGGTTTATATCTCTCGATCTGAAAGATGCCTATTTTCAGATTTAGATAATACCCTGTCACAGGCCATTCTTGAGATTCGCCTTCGACGGTCGGGTATATCAATACACCGTCCTGCCGTTCGGCCTGTCTTTAGCACCCCGTACATTCACGAAGTGCCCCCTTGAGAAATCAGGGCTTGCGAATTATAAACTATCTGGACGATTGGCTGATTCTGGCACAGTCAGAGATAGAACTTTTATCTCACAGAACAGTGCTTCTCAGACATATTGTGACGTCATGTTTCTACCGTAGCCGACAGCGAACAAACAGCGCAACAGAGCGCGTTTCGTTCATACCTTGAAAGAGAAGCCGCAGAAAGCTAGAAGCTAGCCATAGACACCGTGAGTAGTGACTTTTCCCTTGTCAGTGGTGTAAAATATGTAGTTGGATTGTTTCATGTAACTTAGTTCTTCTCCCTCGCTGTGTTATAGGCTTTAACAATCAGCTGATTAGTACTATTATTGACCGTAAAACAGTAACGTTACAGGCGTCACCAACCCGTCGATTGCGGTCGACAAGTCGATCTTGGAAGCATTTTAAGTCGATCGCGAAGAGTTTTCAAAACCAGAGAAAAAAAACAATATTTTTATTCATTATTATTTATTAATTTGTGTGTAGTAAATGGTGTCTAGGGAATGTGGAGGCGCGCGCGCTGTTACAATCACATCATTTTTGCCGCGCACCTTTGCGCTCATGCGGACGCGTCGAGTATAAACAATGCTTTACGCTTTAACCAGCTCAGCCACAGCCCTACAGCATAACAGCTCATATTAGCCAGCTAAACTTTTACTACCCTGTTAGAAAAAATATGTATTTGGATAGTTTCATGTGGTTCTTCTCCCTCGCTGTATTATGGGTTTGCTATGTGGGGAGAAATGTGCTGGTTACGTTCGTGAGACAATCAGCTGATTACTATTATTATATTATATATTAACCCTCTGGGTTCTGAGGTGTTTTCTGGGCCCTGGAGGTGTTCTGACATGCTCTGACATTTGTGTTTATTTCTGTTACTTGTGACATTTTCATGGCTAAAGTCTGATTACACTGTATTCAGCACAAACTCTGCTACAATGATATGTCAGCAGCATGTAGGTAAAAGTTTGTAGTTTTGAGATAATGACGTTTATGCATGGTTTGTGAAAAAACTAAAAAGAATTGTCACTGAAATAAGGTCATGAAACCAATACTGATTATTTCTTCACAAGACTTTTGAAAATTGTATCACGTAGCCTAGAATATTTGCTCCAAAACTATGTGAAAATCATCCTGACTACTCATTCAGATAAGACAATAAAGTCTTTTAAAATTTGTATAATGTGTTTTGTGTAAGAAAGCTTTATGCGGGGAGGCGTTAACCACCCATTAATATATAGTTTTTCACACCTGAGAAAGACAAAGACCCTCCCCTAATGACCCTATTAGGTGCTATCATTATGAGGATCCTTGCACAAAAAATGAGGAGATTTAAAAAAGAAAGGCTTTTAGATTGTTTGGATTTATTTACAACACAACATAATCCAAAGATACACAACAAAGGACAAAAAAGCACATTAGTAAACACACTGATCTAAAGATAGAGGCTTGAACAGGCTCACAACTTTGTGCCATTCCTGAAACATAGTACATACCCGTCATTTCCAAGGTGTTTGATTTTTCATTTTGCCATGTTCATGTACAGTCTCCTGTGAATGTTGAAGTCAGCAGGACTCATCAGTGGCATGTGGTCCCTGTAAAGAAAAAAAACAAAAAAAAAACACCTGTGAACATGCTGATATCAAGAGAAACTATATGTCTGCGCGACTTTGGGCATACATTGTAGATTTTTCTGGTTAAAATTGTGATTTATATTCACACACACACACACACACACACACACACACACACACACACACACACACACACACGCATACTTGTTTTTGCTACGTTGTGGGGACTCATGACTAGGAGGTGACACGTGGGGACAGCAATTTCTAAATACAATAAATCCATAATTTTAAATCCCAGGTGTCTGGGGGAATTTTTTAATCACAAAAATCAACTTTATTATCAGAAATTCTTAATTTTAGAAAGCTTAATATTTGTCAGGTTTTTCTATTCTGGTGGGGACGTCCCAATTGTGTCTTTCCACAAACCACCAACGAGTGGCACTATTCTGAGTTATCTGTAGATTATCTATTTTTAATACAAATTTAAACCTGTACCAGATTAACAATAAAGATTAAGCTTAGATAATCATTAAATAGTTGTTTAAAAGGGAGAATTGTCTATATTTATATTTTTATGGATTTTTACTTTATTTTACAATTCACTAATTCCCATAAACTCTTGTATTTGAATAGACCATTTGTATGGATGTAAACAGTGACAACAGCCTCACCTCACTTCCTGTTTAACAGGAATCTATTTTTCTTCAACTCTGAGAATCTGAAAAGGTCCACATTTTCATAAATAAGACAGTCATGTTGTATGACAAGCAGGAAATGTTCATGGGGCGTTGACCCCACGGGTATCATTGTGTTTGCTTAATAATGATGTGTGCATACTGCAATCAACTCTCAATCAAAACTGCACATGCCTGGCATTTAACAGGGTTGCAAGATATATTGCCACTTGTGTTTTTTCTTATTTGTCATCCTAAAAATGTCACGCACAGAAACCTATAAAGCCCAATGAGTCCGATGTGTAAAAAAACAAATACAACATATAGTCTTCAAGCAGTGAGGATGATTTTGTTGTCCTCTCTCTTCTTAAAAAGAGTAAAAAGAAAGAGGAAATATTGGGTCCAACAATCCTGAGATTGCGTAGAGGAAGGAGAGTTCCCTGCGGGATTATCCCGAGCGATTCAAAGTTTACTTCAGGATGTCAGAGGCTCAGTTTGATACTGGAGACACATTAAAAACCAGTTTTTTGATCCTGAATGGGTCTGGATTTTGGCGTTTGCTTGTACGATGGCTGTGAATTGTCAAAAAAACTCTAAAATACTTGCTATGGATGAGAAAAAGCAGAATTTAAATTTTAGAGGCAGTGAGTAAATGTGATAGGCACAACGTGAGGTCGTATTTTTGAGCGAGAATTTCGGACTCAGTATGCAAGGACGTTTACTGAATCCCTAAACTCAACACAAAACTGTATTATCTGTCAATCTGTCATCTGCATGTCTTTAAATCTGTCTGTTTATCCATCTAATATTGAAGTTTTATTTTTTTCTCAAATGTGCCACAGTTTTGGAACCACACTGAATTCTTTTGAGTAGAAAACATTTGATGTACAACCCCATAAACTACTCCAAGAAAAGTTTGGACATTTGAGCAATTACAACAAAAACAAGAATCTACAGTTTCTTAATGCTCTTGAACATTTATTTAGCGTGTGTTATCTTTTGAACACATTTTGAACTTGTTGCCTGCAACAAACATAGGCAAGAGATCTAGGTAAAAGACCTTTTCTTTTACATTTTCCGCTTTAAGGCATCAATACGATTTTTGACATAAAATTTCACCCCCTCCCAACGTCTCCCCCGAAGTGCTGCTGGTGACCTCTCAATGCACTCCACGCACTGGTCTTTACCAGGAACCTTTCCAGACTGGATGTAGTCCATCAGAGTTTCTTCCACAGCCTGGATTTCCTCTTCTGTCCACTTTCTCCGTGGGTTTTGTGACGATACTAAATAAAATAAAAATAAATATTAGTAATTGGGATAAAAGTAATTGTTATCCCGCACGACCTGATCATGAATAACATATAACTGTTTTACAGTTTTATACACATTTTTGTTTGAAATCTAGTTAGCATGGTTGAAAATCTGTAAATTCTGGCACATGTTTGCAAGCATGTTATCTGGTAACAATATAAATAGTGGTACTGTATTAAAAAGGAATATTTTGGCAAAAAAAAAAAAAGCTGGTAATTTAGTCACTGTCTAAGATGTTTAATAGACCTGGGCCGAAAATGGACCAAGCCAAACATGACAAAATATTTAGGTGTTATTGGTCTTAACCATAAATTACTGCTTGGGAAATTGAATAAGTAAATTTGTACAGGAGAACCTTTCCCTTTTCTTTTCTTTACATGTTTAAGCCTTTAGAAACTAAACATTTTAGATATAGGACCTAATTAAAGCTGCACATAGTGGGAGGGGTTTACCCATGCTAAAATTATATTGGCCTAGGGTGACCAACGGCAACAGACCTAAAAAAAACAATCATAAGGATTTTGCTTGTGCTTTCATTCAATAGGCTTTATGCACAGCTTCACTACTTCCTGAACTTCAGCCAGCCCTTTGTTTCCTGTCTGCCATTATTGGACAAACTGATTAATCCAGGTGTGCCTGGCCTCAGTAACAATAATCAGGCACACCTGGATTAATCAGTTTGTCCAATAATGGCAGGCAGGAAACAAAGGGCTGGCTGAAGTTCAGGAAGTAGTGAAGCTGTGGCATAAAGCCTATTCTGATATCTATGGTTGCACTGCTGTTTATGGCAGTTTAATTAGAGCCATTTCCAATGTCCACCACACCCCAACACTACCGGACCCCACCCCACAGTGTTTTCTTCTTGACAAACTGTAACAACTTGATATGCTGTAAAACCATATCAAGTCTTTATCTGTTGTGAATTAGTGAAGTTGGACGATATTCATGAGTCTGAAAATCTGCATTTTTCACGCAGTGTGGTCACACAGCAAAAATGGCATGAACAGATGTGACACGCTACACCCTTATGGAACACAAACTCCATCAACACAGATCACTGATAAAAAGACACTTCCCACTTTTCACCAAATTCGACCTCCACATGAAATTTAAAGGGTTAGTTCACCCAAAAATGAAACTTCTGTCATTAATTACTCACCCTCATGTCGTTCCAAACCCGTTAGACCTTCGTTCATCTTTGAAACACAAATTAAGATTATTTTGTGATGAAATACGAGAGGTTTCAGTCCCTCCATAGGCAGCAACGTCATTGCAACTTTCAAGGCCCAGAAAGGTAGTAAAAAATTGTTAAAATAGTCCATGTGAATACAGTGGTTCAACCTTAAAGGGCATATTGCAGGTTAGAGGACCCAACGAGTCAATGTATAGAAAAATTATGTAGGAACTATATTTTCTTTAAAATATACTTATAAATACGCTAAAGAAGCTTCAGGAGTCGTTTTTGTGAGGAAAATTTTACTTCCGCGTCTGAAAATGGGTGTGGCGGGCGTGATGAAACGGGCAGGAGAGCGGTCGATTCAGACAACAGGAGAACAATGGATCGCAATGACATTTCGGACGCTGACGAAATACTTACTCGTATGACGGACCACAGCCATACACTTATGAGACTGCTATGAGCCTGCTATGAGCCTGTTATGAGCCTGCTATGAGCCTGTTATGAGCCTGCTATGAGCCTGTTATGAGCCTGCTATGAGCCTGCTATGAGCCTGTTATGAGCCTGCTATGAGCCTGCTATGAGCCTGTTATGAGCCTGCTATGAGCCTGCTATGAGCCTGCTATGAGCCTGTTATGAGCCTGCTATGAGCCTGCTATGAGCCTGTTATGAGCCTGCTATGAGCCTGTTATGAGCCTGCTATGAGCCTGTTATGAGCCTGTTTTGAGCCTGCTATGAGCCTGTTATGAGCCTGCTATGAGCCTGTTATGAGCCTGCTATGAGCCTGCTATGAGCCTGTTATGAGCCTGCTATGAGCCTGCTATGAGCCTGTTATGAGCCTGCTATGAGCCTGCTATGAGCCTGCTATGAGCCTGTTATGAGCCTGCTATGAGCCTGCTATGAGCCTGTTATGAGCCTGCTATGAGCCTGTTATGAGCCTGCTATGAGCCTGCTATGAGCCTGCTATGCTGCCAAGAGAACAGGGGCCTCATTTATAAAACTTTGCGTAGGATTTGCGTCAGAAGTGGCGTACGGATGAAACATAGGACGTGCGTACGCACAGAAATATTCGGATTTATTAAACCGTGCGCACGCACATCCTACGCATTTTTCCCTTAATAAATCACAATCAATTCTAAATGTAGCGCAGCTTTTGCGGCTTCATGTCACGCCCATAATTGCCCATAAATAGTCCGTGAAACGCCCATAAGTTAATATTCATCGATTGCAAAATCATGGCAAACATAGAGAGGAAATCAAAAAAACGTAACTTCACTCAATGTGAAGTAGGAGTTATCGTTGGCGAGGTGGAAAAGAGGAGAAAAAATGTTGTTTGGAGGGCACAGTGTGGGCATTAGCCTACTAATGCCAAAAAGGCACTTGAGTGGCAAAAGGTTGCAGACGCCGTAAATGCTGTAGCCTCACAACCTCGGACTGTGGCCGAAATAAAAAAGAAATGACATGCTACAAATGTCGTGTATAATCTACTTGGAAATGGGAAATAGTTCAGCGCAAATGTAATTTCTTGGAGCTTTCTGAATGGTTGAGACATAGGTCTACGTCATACAGAAATGCAAAAAATAATACCCTTTTATTTACAGGGCCAAACTGGACACAATATTAACTTAAATCTTTAAAAAATATAAACACAAGTAACATATATTAATAATAAATAAACCAATATAAAATAAAAAAATCACATTTACATAATATCAAATAAAATAATATTGTATCAAACAATGTAATAATACTGGAGATTAACCGAGATTACTACCTGGGTAATCTAATATCGACATGGCTACAGGTTCCCATGTTTTGTCTGCTTGCACCAGTCATGTAAGTTATCTGGTCATTGTAGTAGTTACACAGCGCTTAGCTTGGTGAGTTTGGTATTTCGTTCCCACTGCGTCTTAGCTATGCAGCTTTGAGTAAACCTATGAAAGAGGACGTCTCTGGTTACTGGTGTAACCCATGTTCTCTGAATAGGGAACGAGACGCTGCGTTCGCTGCCAAACTCCTCGCGCTGCCGACAAGCTTCCTTTTTCGGCAGAGAAATGTGAGGAGCAGATGATGCGCGCGCTAATAGAATATGACGACGTAAGAGCGTCAAGGCGGCGCCCGCGCCATCAGCCAATGGATTGGCCTGATTCTATATGGGCTTCAGACAATCGGCACACCTAGAGGGCGTTCTGACGCGTAATTTTACACGTGAAATGCAGCCAAACCTTGGAGCGTTTTGTCTTCGGCATCTTCATTAATCCCCTCGCTATCAGCAGACGTTCCGGGAGTCTCCCGCATATTGATAACGGCTCCCTGATGCCCAAATTAGTTAAAATCTCCCAGAATCTAGAGCGAGCGAGCAAGAGCGCGCATGCGAGACAGAACAGACTGTGCTCCAAACCGTAGAGTGCGCGCACGGCGGAGAGAGAGAGGGAGAGAGCGAGAGACTTTGCGAGTGTGCGCCTCATGACACAGAGACTCGGGCACCGAAATTTTCGTTCTTATTTGGTCTGGTTACTACCGTTTACGTCGGAAACGGTTCCCTATTGGCACCGCGTTTCGGTACCCAACCCTTCTGAATACCAGCCTACTCTGCACTGAGCTGAGGCTCCCTGACGTGACGTAAAATGACGCGATGTTGAAAAAAAAGCCGTTTTTACGAGCAGTCCAAGAAACGCTCACTTTATCTACTAAATTAGTGCCCTTATGTCGTTTTAAAACATTTTAAATCCTGCATTAACTTTTCATATGGTATTTTCATACAAGGTTATATATTAATTTAGATTTTTTTTTTACCTGCAATATGCTCTTTAATGTTATGAAGTGATGAGAACTTTTTGTGCACAAAAACCCCCAAAATAACGACTTAATTCAACAATTTCTTCTCTTCCACGTCATTTCCCATAGTGTAAACAGTGCAGCGCTCCCTGAATCTACATCAGAACGCTCCTGTGTCAGCATCACATGCATGTGTCGTGGTGCTCACATGAACAGCGTCGACCAATGGTGAGCCAGTGTTCTGACGTAAACCCGGAAGCGCTGCACTGTTTACACTACGTCAACAGTGTAGAAGAATGACAAGGAAGATAAAGTCGTTATTTTTTTGCGCACAAAAAGTATTCTCTTCGCTTCATAACATTAAGGTTAAGGAACAATAAGGAAGAACTGTAGTCACATGGACTATTTTAACTATGTCTTTACTACCTTTCTGGGCCTCGAAAGTTGCAATGACGTTGCTGCCTATGGATGGATCAGAAACCTCTCGGATTTCGTCAAAAATATCTTAATTTGTGTTTCGAATTTTGAACGAAGGTTGTATGGGTTTGGAACGACATTAGGGTGAGGAATCAATGACAGAAACTTCATTTTTGGGTGAACTAACCCTTTAAGGGAACTCTTTTGTCAATATAAATGGGTCTCTGCGTAGATTCTAATTGAAATGACTTAATTCTGAATGAACTTTCACAAAAAAATGGAAAGTGTGACATTTGATAAGACATTTGAAAAACAGCTTACCCTTTGTTGTGTGTGGTTCGTCCGAGTCCTTGCCAATTGGCTGCAGTTTTTTATCTTTGCCTGTTATAAAACATATGAGCACAACTGAGGAGACTTCAATATAGGCAATATACGGTAGTAATGGCACAGAATGCTGACTAAATGGGTACCAGTAATTGTGCCACACATTTAATTTACCAAATATATTGGGGTTTATTTTGTTTTTATAAAACTGTGTTGTGTTTGTAACTGTTAGATATCCATGAGAACAGGATTGTTACAAAACATACAAATCATAAGGCACTGGTTCTTTAAAAGTAAACCAATATCAGAAGTCTTCATAATCCTCCTGTTTAATTTAAATCTTATTACCTTTGGCTGGTTGTTGATTTTTGGGTTGTTCAACTTCATTAGTAGACTTCATTGATTTCTCTGGACACATAATAGCTCTCTTTTAGTAAAAGAATATTCAACAAGAACTCCTAAATATCAGTAAGCACACTCAAAATCTTCCAGTAATATTCAAGCCTTTTCTAGGTTTCCCTTTCAGTAGCTGACTACATACCTGCCGAATCTGAAGGTGAAGCACCATTTCCAGTCTCATTTTCAGAGTCTGATCCATCACTGTCCATCAGTACTCTCTCTATAAAACAGTCACCATACATATAAAATGATTAGGTAGCAAACTAAATATTTTAAACCGCTACATTGAACCAATGTCTATAACCAACAATGGAGTTCCAGCTCATACCATGGTATTTGAGAATTTTTAATCTGCTAGTTTATTTATTCAAATTAATCAATTGATAAAATTTCCCCAAAAAAATGTATGCAGGAATACGTGTGTGCTCAAGCCTGTTGTTGTACCTTGTGGATCAATCTGGATCTCATCAAGATTCCTTCCTTTGAATTCAGATAGCTGTCCTCGTTCCATGGCCATCAGAACTTTACTTATTTTGGCAAGCTGTAATGTGCCTTCGGGTAACCTATAATACTGCCGATGGACCCTGATGTCATGTCCAAGGAAGTCAGCAAGGTCATCCATCTCATTGTCCTTTAAGTTGAGGACCTTGGACATAGTGGCCATGTGCTTTCTCAGTCTAGTGGAGGATAATGTCTCTGGGTGTTTTGCTCCACAGCTTTGAGCAATCTTACGGATAACATCTGATCCTCTGAAGTGACTGAGTGCTTGTGGTCTTCCAAACATGAACACATTCTCATCGGGCACTTCACAGTTACGGCGAGTCTTGACAAGTAACTCCATCGACGTCAGCATATCGGGTGTGAGCAGAATGGGGACCTTTCGTCCTCGTTTGCCTCTTATCTCAATTCTTTGAAAGTGCTTACAAAGTTTCTTCTCAAGGTCTGACAATGCAAACTCTACATCTGGATGAGTCGACGAGGTATCCCTCAATGTAAAAGCATTAAGGGACATCTTGGATACTTCTCCTTCTCTTCTACGATTGAAAAGTATTACCTGACAAAGTGTAATTTTTGCAAGTTCTGACCAGTTCTTGTTACTTGGTTCTTCTTCAAGTTTTGTTTGGTACTCCTTACTCTCTCTGTCAAGATACTGGTGCATTTTTTTCACATCGTCAGCAAAGGGAAGAAGCTGCGGAGAGTTCCATTTTGCCTCACTCAAATTTCGGAGGGCCTGGGATGACACACACTCACTCCATTTAGTGTCACAGATCTGTTTGAAGGCCTGCACATTGTTAAGAGCGTTCTTATCACCGGACATCATTGCCTCACATTCAATAATGCTGGCCAATTTCTTGAGGTTGTGCCCTAACTTTAGAGCTAAAGATGGTGCTTTGTATGTGTTTGTTTCCTCATTCAAGCCAGACACACTGTGAACCGCATCAATCACATGAGGGAAATTAGCCGGTACAAAGAAATCTGACACCTCCTTCAACTTGCCAGTCTGTTTACCTTGGAGAACTAGTCGCCCCGTCTCACGCATCTTTTGTCTTATATATTCATGTTTTGTGACATCATGGCCATGCTTATTAAAGAGATGTTCCCCTAATTTCAATATGATTTTCTCTTTGCGGACAACATCTGTTATCTTATCCTCGTGCATTTCAAGCACCATTCTCCAAAATCGCTCATTCACACTCTCTGGAACTGGTTCAGTATACGAGCAAAGGGCCTGAACTCGAGTTTTTCCTGGCTTCATTCCTTTTACTTTTTTGCTTAGATGGCATCTCTGCATGTGCCTCCACAATGATCTCCTCTTCAGGTAGGCCTCACAGTTTACACAGTGCAAGTAATCACTTGCTGTTACTGGTGCAATGGATTGCTGTCTGGGTATCACCAGTCCTTTTCCTTCTTTAAGCACCTGAGTATTATGACAACGGTTCCCTTTATTTCTCAATAAACTCACCTGTAATCTTCGATCTTTAGACCCTTTTGGAAATGCAACTGCTCTTGCCACCTCTGGCTTATCTTTGTGCTTCGATTCCAAATGGCGTGCCATTTTACTGAATGGTTTAGAGCAGAACAAACAGAAGTACTTTTTGTTGTATATTCTGCCGCCATCTGTTTTCTTCTTCAGCATCATGACCTTCACATTGGAATTATCAGGTGAAGAGGATTCGCAGCTAATTTGTTCATCCGATGAAGAGGATTCGCCGCTGTCATGTTCGTCAGATGAAGAGGATTCTTTGGTTCCACTGGTAGCCAAGCAACTAGAACGTGTCACACGCTTTCTTTTACATGGTTTAGATCTTGATGTTTTTGACTGAACCTTTCGTCTCTTTTGCTGTTTGTCATTTTTTGCTAAACTCTCTTCCTTTGCTGACCTGTCACTCTCTGATTGATCCTCTGTTTCCGGTATATACTCGCTGAACTCTGAACTTGATTCTTCTGTTTCATATCCAAGCATTTTCCTGTTAGGCTGTGAATTAAATGTATGAGTTAGAAGTCTTGATCAGGAATGCCAAGACAAACAAAATACTGCAATTATGAATGCCTGTCCAAAGTGAAACATTCAGTGTGCAGATTTTATAAATAACAATGCAACTATTAATTTCCAGGCTGTATTAGCAATAGTAGTAGTAGTGGCATTAGCGATGCATGAATATAGTAAAAATCGAGTCGAGTCATTGCTGATGTGAAGAAATCCCATCAGACATGAAGATGTGCACTTAAAGAAACACAAGATTAGGCTATAATATGAAAAGAAGAAAAAAGATAGCAACACAGGTTTCTCATTGGTGGTTTTTTTGCAGACACACATAGCACGAGCATGATCATCTGATGAGTTAACTGTTTCTTCTGACACTCATCTAAGAATGGGGGAGGGCGGTTTGGATAAGCATCCCTATTGGACGAATCTATTGGTAATGACCACGAGCAGTCTGTATTTGCATCAAGGCAGGCAAGAACATGAGAGGTCTGATGATTCACCAAACACCGGTGGCATGCTTGAGGAAGGGACGAGTGGAGCAATGCAGTAGCAAGCATTTCAAGTTTCAAGTTGCCGACTACAGAACCTGGTCAGACGGAGGAGAGCTCACCCCATAACCCTCATGCAACATGAGTCCCTATACAGAGCAGGAAGTCTGAACAGCGTCAGGTTATGTGACCTGCCGCTAAGTAAAAGGAGTGGCTTTAGTTGGATGAGGATGTAGAGAATATCCTGGAGAAGACATCGAAGGGCAACGGGAAACTCCAGACTATGTGCACACTCATAATGAAGACAGGCACAGAATGTTTCGGTGTCATTGAAGAGCAGGTCAAAAGTGATCCAGCTAGACTGGTCAGAAGTATCTATCTCCCCAGGGAGGACTGCTCACCACAGCACGGGACTGGCAGCGCCCATGCTATTTATACTGCCCGCGGACCGGTCAGCATTTGCATGTTTTGCGTCAATTGGCCAGCTGTCTCCAGCTGGCGTTAACCTATAAGATTTCAGTGAAAATGGAGAAGGGAGGAGTTCCCTTCTACCTCATAGAGGCACGCGAGTCTTGATCTTGACCACGCATCTTGAGCGCCGAATGACGCGTGCTGGGTTGCCGTGACAACCCGCGCTGTCAGCCGGCGCTCGACGGCACACGGCATGCTGAGCGGCTCAAGCCTTTACGAGAAAGGGGAGACGGACAACGTGCCGACGTGGTCATGCACTCCTGAGAGAACACGAACCACCCACGAACGTAGTCTCACACACTGATTAGGCATGTGAAACAATGAACGTGGCCGTCAAATAAGGACAGGAAACGATCGCATCCAGAAACACACAAGTGAAACGTCATCCTGAAAAGGACGCGATCTTCACTCGTGTTGCTCTTTCAGGAAGAAAGTACTCTCTCTATCATGCTGAAGCACACAGGGACCCAACGCGGCAACACAGCGGGGAAACTGCAAGCCCGCTGTGCGCACTCAACCGTTTACCAGCTGTGAAAACAGCTTTTGAATTAACAGCATACAAACGCAGCCGGCAGACAGGAAACCGCGCGGTCGCTGAAACGCCATCTCACCAACACAGAGAGATCCCCTCCCGAAACAGCAGACTAGTAGTCGTAAGAAAAATATATTTCTTAAAGCTCACTCACTCAGAGAGGACACAATCGGACGGCTCCGAAGCTAAAAGCATTTGGCAATGTTTACTTCCGCCTTTTATACCCGCGCTGGTAGGCGGGTCGCGGAATGCAAATCTTGCATGCCAATTTTCATTGGCTCTTTTTAATTCACTCGAAGGCAAGTGGTCTCCCTAGCGTGATCCCAATTCGTCAGGGAACTCCCCGACGACACGTTTGAGTTCCCAGGACGAAAGGGAACCACAATTAACGCTCTAGTTTCTACAACTTTCACTTAAGAGTAAAATCTGCCTAAAGATTTGACATTTATCGTGATAATTATCGATATCGACCGATATAAAAAAATTATGATTATTTTTTTTGGCCATATCGCCCAGCCCTTCCAACAAATCACCAATTTGTGGGCCAACTGCTGACTAGAATGGCCTGCTGACTGAAAAAGACAAGCTCAATGTTATGATGTTGAAAAATGCCCCAAAGTTGACTTTTTTAACTAACATAATACTGACCTAGCAACCGAAAGCATTTAATACAACTAACCTTTGTTTTCATGCTCTGATATAAAAACATGGTCTTCTCCCGTTCATCATTTGCAGTTTTTGTGTACGCCTTCGTGTATCGTTCTTCACAAGCATTGTGATGTGCTCTTAATTTCTGGAGGCGACTCAACTGACTGCTTTGAACCTAAAACACAAACAAACAAAAAAAAATTTTTGGAAGCTTTTCTTTTGCCATTTACGTTACCTTCAGAACTGAACCTTTAAATAAGGATTTATTGTTGACAGCAAACACTCTACCAGGTGAGCCACAGGGGATCCCCTATATTACACTGAACAACTCATAAAGAGCAGGAAAATAAAAGGATAAAATAGAAAAAAAGTCAAATTACAAAAGAATTCTTAGTTGTGGATACAGTGTCCTGTGACACAATTGTGTTTGTCCGGTAGGGTTCGGTTGGTTGTCTGACACATGCTTTTGCAGGCTTGGTGGTGCAGATTGCCTTTTGTAATGGCTTGGTTGAGGCCTTCTTTGAACCCAGGACATTCATTGCTTTTATTTTTAAATGATTTCTTTAGTTTTATTTTAAATACATGCTCTATGTTTGAAAGACACATGTAATTTAACCTGTCCTCAGCATGAGGTCACAATGTAAAACTGCCAAACAAAGTGTTTAAAGGGTTAGTTCACCCAAAAATGAAAATGATGTCATTAATGACTCTCCCTCATGTCGCTCCAAGCCCGTCAGACCTCCGTTCATCTTCAGAACACAGTTTAAGATATTTTAGATTTAGTCCGAGAGCTTTCTGTCCCTCCATTGTAAATGTATGTATACCAGACACCAGACACACGTCAGCAGCGTCTTACGTCAGCAGCGGCACTGAACGCGGATCCACAACAGAACCGTAATACAATACAGTGCCGAATAAAGTCATAGTTTTTGTTATTTTTGGACCAAAATGTATTTTCGATGCTTCAACACACTCTAACTAACCCACTGATGTCACATGGACTACTTTGATGATGTCTTTATTTCCTTTCTGGACAAGGACAGTATACCGTACACACATTTACAAAGGAGGGACAGAAAGCTCTCAGACTAAATCTAAAACATCTTAAACTGTGTCCCGAAGATGAACGGAGGTCTCACGGGCTTGGAGCGACATGAGGGAGAGTCATTAATGACATCATTATCATTTATTATCTTTAATAGGACCCTTTTCCTATTTCCTGCTCATTGTGGATCTTAAAGTAGGACACATAGTCCTGGAAGTTTTAGTTTGTTTTAATATTTTATTCAAACATTTTGTTGTTTTATACAAAAAAGTTGTTTTGTCTCTCCATCAGATGTCAACTCCGTAAGGTTTTATGTCTGATGGAGTTGACATGAGCTCACAAAACTCTTTATATAGTGATATTATATATATTTTTGATAAAACTTTATTTTATGGCGATGTAGTTACACTTTACTACATGCACTTACTAATGATCTTCGCCACAGAAGTGAATCAATCAAAACCAACTTTAGCTGGACAATAACTTTATTCTAATGCTGCTGTAAAGCCTAACACTCTGTTACGCTAATTTCTATGATAAGTATCTGCAGTAAAGCTGCTTTGAAACAATCCATACTGTTAAAAATGCTTTATAAATGAAGGTGACTTGACTACTATAGTAATAACAGTAACTTATGCATAATTACAAGTAACTAACCAAAAACCGTAATCGTAACTCTATAGTTAGTACATGTAGTTGATTAATATTACTCAGTATAATTTAACTGTCACTTTAAAATAAGGTGTAATCATTTTTTTGCATATGGGGAATTATTGTAATGTTGTTTTAATTTTATTTACATATATATTTGGCCTGATTTACATGGCTTATATACATAGCATCTTTACATCTACTGTCAGCATGAATTCAAAATTGATGATTCTTATTTTTTATGGAATATTGCAGTTATTATAAATAATTATTTTGTACATTTGTAAAAAAAAAAAAATAAATAAATAAATAAATAAAGGTACAACCTGTCACGACATGAGATCACCGCAATAGCTAACCCTGATGTAATGGAATTCAAAGAGAGAGTGTACAACAGCATTTCCCACTGCTTAATTCATGCAGGTCAGGCACAAATAAAATGTACATAATAGAGCCCGACCGATATATCGGCGGGCCGATATTATCGGCCGATTTTAGGCATTTTCCTAACTATCGGTATCGGCATTTATAATGGCCAATAAATGAATATTTAAAAAAAATGCGGGTGCGGTGATTCATGTAAGGGTGGCGCTGCCAATAAAGCATCTAAAAGCTGTCACAAGAACTGGCAAAAGTAATGATTATGAATACAACAAATATAGCAAGGAGACATTTTAATTGTTTATTAATAAACAAGTGTTTTCAGTCAGTGTCAGCCAAAGATGAAGTTGACGATGCCGACTCGCGATCTTCAGTGAGCGCGCGCCAGAGAGAAATGCACATTTGATACGATTACATGAGTCTGTCTGTCTTTCGTTTTGAATTGTTCTGTTTAAAAGTAGACATTTCAATATAGATATATTTCAATTCTCAGGTCTATACGCTGAGTTTCGGTCCATGAGACGAGCTCCAGTTCACCCGCAGGCGCCTCCGTGTCGAGATTATCTATCGTCTGCTATATTTACTTCTTATAAATTAAATCCAGGCAAATGGCTGATGAAACATTGATTAAAATTAAGATACAATTAATACAAAACGAAATTCACTTTGAAACGAAAGGTTTTGTGCTTTCTGTTTGATGTCTATGTGAAAGTTTCAAAGCATATTTTAGTGCCGCTTTCAGAGCGCTCACGTCCGTAGTGCTGAACTGTCGCGTCTGTAACATTGTTTTTTCCTCATAAATGCGAAAATAAAATGAATATTTTATGTAGCCTGTGGAGACTGAGAGCCAACCCTTCTTCATCCGGTGGGTGGTAGCCTACTTGTGATTTGCGCAGTGTAATTCACAGAATTGATGTCTCTGCTACCAGCCTCTGTCACGTATTGTGTGAGCTTGTGACTATTGCAAGCGCACAGCTGAGAAGTCCTGATTATATTGTCTGCTATATTTAGGCCTACTTCTTATTTATTAAGGCAATTGGTTGATGAAACATTGATTAAAATGCGTGGCGCGAGCGATCTCCGACAGTAAACTGATTCTGCTTTGTCTCGGGTAAACAGCTGTTGCGACGCGAGCAGTAACGGCCGCGTCCGGTGTATACAGAGTGTTAAAGCTCATTCTGCCTATAACGCTACGTTACAACATCAAGCAATATTCCAAAAATGTATATAATTATAACACTTTATATAGGGTTATATAGCCTAGTTTCACGTTTAGTACATTTTGCTTACTAATTATTTAAAATAGTATAAAAGTACTGTACATATGTAATTAAAAACGTTTTCATTATGATATTATTAATTTTACTTTAGTAAAAAGATCTGAGTTCTTCCTCCACTGGTAGAGATTAGAGGAATTAAGAGTAAAAATAGAAGATAATAAGGTTTTGTCAGTGACACTTTTTATATATTTATTGATACAAGTTATGACTAAATTAAAAGACAAAGTCGTCGTTAGTGAAGATTATGCAACAGTATTTAGAATATAATATAATATAACATGCAATGCAAACTAGTTTGGTTCCAGCTCAGCTGTATAATTCTCATTCTATCATTCCCTCTGCCTCCATTACATATCTGTGTCACACAAGTGTTTGATCACCACATTTGAGTGATCATTGCAAAACGTGTTTATAAAATATATTTATTCTGTTTATAGCTACTGTGTAAAGTACCCATCAAAAGTTTGTACACACCAATAGGAAAGTGTCCAAACTTTTGACTGGTATACTGCACTATAATACACATAAATAATATTGCTACTGTATTATAATATACACATAAATAATATCGGCCGATATATCGGTATCGGGCTTTTTTTTACTCCCTAATATCGGTATCGGCATCGGCCCCCAAAAATCCATATCGGTCGGGCTCTAGTACATAATTGGTGCGATTTATAGACAGACTACAGATACTTTTATTAACATTGGGAACATTTCTGTTGCTGCTACAGGGCGGCACATAATAATGCTTACCATTACACTCAACCTAACATACACTTCTTGTGTTCTGTGAGCTACTGGAGACTCAGAATGAGACGCACTGTACCGCTAAAGGAGAAAAACAAACCACTGGAAGGATTGCTGTAAAATTAAATATTAGCTTAAAAATGTGTTAGTAGTCTTAATTTGTTGTCTTGTCAACCAGTTGTGGTCAGTCAGCTCCTTAACTGAACGCAATTACATTATTAAAGACTTTAAACTGTTGTTGGATAGATCAAATTAAAATAGCATGCTTTTTAATGCGTCTAATGGAGTTATTTCATTTTCAGAAAAACCTGTTCCCTTATATGGTTCATTACCCGAGACCTTTGTCTACAAATATATCAACTTATAGTAATGTAGTAGGGGTGTAGCGGTTCAGAAAATTCACGGTTCGGTTCGATACGATACACTTGTGTCACGGTTCAGTACGTTTTCGATACAACAAAAAGAAAGAAATGCCAGAGAAATTTCCTTGATTTCATTTTTTAAATTATATTTTTATTAAAACTAACATCATAAAGTATGATATTTTTTTACTTTGAGCAGTGATGGAGCTATACTTGACTTTTATTAGGAAAATATAAAACAACAGCTCCTTGGACAAAATGAAATGTAATATTGTAGTAGTTATAAACAAAGGTTTATTTTAGTTCAGATTAACATTTGAGGGCAGCAATTGTATATAGGGGTGGGCGATATGAGCAAAAATTCATATCACGATATTTTTCACTGTCCGGACGATATGAGAAAAAAAAATTGGAATCACATTTTAGTACACCTTAGTTAAATTACAGGCAAAATATGTATTTTAACACTAGATAACTAGAAAAAGGTGAGGCATTTCATTGGACATAGACCTGAAATGTTTTTATTGTGCCATTTTTTCTCTCAAAAAGTGCAAACGTGCAACATGAGGTAGGCCTGAATGCACTTGTTATGTCTTTCCACTTTTTGCTCGTCTTGTCATAATGAGAACCGGCAGCGAATGAAGACTTTATTGATTTCTGAGTGAGAGCCGTCTTCGGGTGGGCTCTGTCTCCGGGAATATCTGTTGTTATAGTTTTGCTTTTTTAAATTAGTTTTTATTTTAATATCGTTTTCAATTTTGCTTTAAATTTCAGTTTAGTTTTAGCTAGTTTCATTAATGGTTTTGTTAGTTTTTATTTTGCAAACACATTTCTATATATCGTTTTTATTTTATTTAGTTTCAGTTTTAGTAATTATAGTTTAGCTTTAGCAGAGCGAGCAGAACACTTCCAGTGTAGACCAAAGCGAGACGTTTAATTTAAGTTTAATGTTTGCACAGATTACAGATAACTCTTATGCAGACATCTTAATAATAAAAATAAAATAATGGTTTGAGATTGAACAAAGCACCAAATAAATAGAACTTAAAAGTATACAAGAAAAAAACAATGGAAATTTTCATACAAACTAATTCATTAGTGTCAGGAGACAGAATAAAGGCCTACAGTTTGTACAGTATAAAACCCATTACGTCTATGGAGAGTCCCCACAAAGATAGTGGACCAGTGTGTGTGTAGGCGCGCTTATGTGTGTGTCGTGTCCTGTTATTCATAGCCTAACGTTACATTGCGGGGAAATGTCTCCACGTGGATAATATTATTAGCAGTAAATGTTTTGTAAAAACAAAGATAATAATAGCAGCTTTCAGCCTTTCAACCTTCATGAAAACATGACATCTCAAACATACAGTAGCCAAGAACTTTAACGTTTTTTTGTGCTTGACGAACTTGTTTTGGTGTTGCACCCGCGTCTCGCAAATGAAACGGCATTCTAAAAATGCTGCGCTCCAGTTAAAAGTCAAACTTGCGTCTCATTACCTTGTTATTTCCCATTCCACCGCAAAAGATGCATCCTTTATGAACAGCCGCTTAGCACTAGCGATGTGTTCTACGTTACGGTCCTTCATTGAAGGCGTCACAGGACAGCGGTTAATCGCCTCAGCAACTTCACGCGTATGAAGCGCCAAATCAGCCATTTCCTTAAACAGTGTATTCGATTCTGTCTGTATCGTCATTAGTGTTAACAGTTGTAAAGAGTACCAAATTGAACAAAACAATATAACTGCAAAATTTTAATTTATGAATAGCCTACGGTATCCTCGGTATCGCAAAATCCATATCATGGCACAACATAATACCGGTGTTGACGTTCATACCGGTATAGCGCCCACCCCTATGTATTCATAATGTCAAAATAAAACCGACGTGATGTTACTTGAAAGCATTATAGCCTACTATTCCTGCCACTACTTACTACAGTTAGTAGTGTTACTACAGTTAGTAGTGTTACTACAGTTAGGTTACTACAGTTAGTAGTGTTACTACAGTAAACCCATGGTGAATGTGCTGATCTGTGGACACTGGATAGTTCATTCATGGCACAATGTTTCTTCCTGGTTTCCACGTCAGCGCTGTTTGATCCGTTAATAACGGAGAAATGTGAATGTTTCTCACTAGATCTCGCAGCGATGTTATTACTTCAGTGGCGAATTCAAATGTTTTCTTTACTGGATCTCGCTGTGTAGTAACAGTGCTGATGATGAAGATCGGCTCGCGCTGCATTGGTCCACACTGATAAACGGTCCGTCAACCACACAATAACGAGTAGCTCAGTTTCGTTCCGCTTACATTACATTTGCCATTTGATGTTGGGCAATGTTGTGGTCACGCCAGCGTCTCTTCATTATGAGCGCGCTTGCCACGCGCGACGCGCCTACATTTGAAATAACGAAATTTTGGTCGGCAGGAAAAATGGTCCAACGAACCGTTCGGTTCAAAAATGCGTAACGAAAACCGAACTGAAAGCCTCGTACCGAACGGTTCAATGCGAATACGTGTATCGTTACACCCCTATAATGTAGTATTAAATAATAAAAAGTAAAAACTAACTTCTAAAACTGTTTTGTCCCTTATCTCAACCATCAATGATATATATATATACACATATGTTTATCTGTGGATATAGCCTACCTTCGTCTTCTCTTCAGGGCCATCTGTCACATCATCCACTGCAATGTAAATTACAAAGACAAAAAATGTATTGTTATTTAAAATATTTTTACATTTTACTTCCTCCTACTATACTTCTAGGCTTGAAAAACCCCAAGAGAATCATCAGTATCGAATAACAAACCAATAGATTTAAAATAAGTATCAACGTAAGGCTGACATCAATGACACCATTTTTTTTTAAACCTGACTTGACAGTACGCAGGACAACATGTTGTATTTAATCAGCATGTACAGTAAAGTAATTATATCTGTGTCGTTACTGAACCATTACTAACATGTCAGAGTTTAGGGATAATTGCCCAAATTTTTTTAGCCACTAGAAAATAATTTTCACCAACGATTAATGCATGTAAAAATAAAAATGTAAGATATCAGCGGGGTATTTTTTATCTTTATATTGAACATGAAAAGTACACTTTTGTTTCACAATAACATGATCATATGGCTAGACATTTATATTGTTTAATGCCACAATACCAAATTTTCTGTCATTTGAAAGCGTTTAAAAATATTTAGTTTTTTAAATGAACACTTTCAATAAAATAAGCAGATATAACCTACTTGCCTTAATTTCTAACAGATGATCTGTTTTCTTTTTTAATAAAACTGTAAAGAAAATTTACAAATCAAGTTATAACAAAAAAAATGTAAGTTTAAATTAACCTTAAATTGTATTAATTACTAGAATCATCGCTTTACTTTGTGATAATGTAGTGGCCTCTAAACTTCTATTTAAACCGGATAGCAGATTAAAAGCCATGCCAGAATAAAAGATTAAATCTCATGCACATCCATGAACTTGTGTTGCAAGAGAATGAAAGGAGCGAGCATGGGGGACCGGACTATGTTGGATATTTCTTTTAAAAACCTTGGTTACTCTGGCTCATTAAGCTATAAAGCTTTAAGAATTATTTTAAGTAATAAATGACGCACTACAATTTGACATACTACAAATGAGTAAAATGTGTTTTGTACTATCTTCTCATTATCTCACCTGTGCATTCAGAGCTGGCATTCATAGTTGCATCTTCCTGCAAGCACAAGTGTCATAGACAGTCAAACATCATGGTCTAACATCACATTACACTCTATTTAAAACTGTAATGGTACAATTTGGCAATATATTAAAGTAATTGACATTGTAACATAAGACAATACAATTTCATAACATTTTGACTGAAAATAAATGCCATTTAGTGTCTGATCTTGAAAACTGCATTACAGAAGTAGAAAATATTTGTCCTGGATTCATTAAACTTCCCTAATGCTTTGTTGAAACACATTATTGGTGTTTAGTGTGATAAAACGCCATGAATCCTGCCTGGCCTCAGACTCACATGGCTGCACGTGTAGGCCGCAAAAGATGCAACTCCTGGCAATCTTTAATTAATGTTACCAAAAGTGAGCTAAACATCTAGGTGAAGTAACAGGGACGCAAAATATGTCTTTCAGAAATAACAACTTTTTAAATTAGGCGAAGTTTGAAAGCGGATTGCCGTTTAAAATGCAGTCACCTATGCAATCCTAACTTACTGTGGCCTTAAAACATGAGCTGAGACTCTTAGGAATCTAAAGCCCTAATAGATTATTATTATTAACATTATTGTCATTTTGGTACATTAATCTATACTTTCTGCAAAACTGCTTTGAGATTGCTTAATGTGGAAAGCGCTATAGAAATAAAAATGACGTGACTTTTACGTTACGATTTATGTGCAAACAATATCCAAGTTAAATAAACATCACCATATATTATTTTGATAGCCTTGCACAAAACGTCAAAAACTTACTTGCTCCTCGGCCATCCCGTCTTCTCCGCGTGTGTGCAGCATCTCTGCCTCGAGCATCGGTGTGTGTCGCAGGTGTGAGGACCTCGGGTGTGGGGGAGGGGATAGTCGCGGTGGGGACTCGAACCCTCAGGTTCTGTGTGATGTGTCAGCCATTACTGACACTCACTCGGCGCACTGTATAGCTAGGGCCTAGCTATTTATTACCCGCGCTTTTTTTGTGTGTGCGGTTTAAGTTTTCTTTAAAAAAAATTATGTATGAACATAAGCTCTGATAATATAGTGTATGCCTATATGCTGTTATAAAAGAAATACACTTTCCGCTCAAATTTAATTTAAGTACAAATAAAATGACAGAATGTATGTAAAAAGACATTTATATTAAATTTAATATTAAAAAACAACACATGAATGAATGGAACTATTAAACAACTCACAAAAAGATTGACATTCATAAAAAAATTACTATTACAAGACCTTAATTGTAATCAGTATAATTGTAAAACACTAAAAACAGATATTATTTTTACTCTCTGACAGGAGATAAAATAAAAAAAATAGGTTTGAAAGAAGGGCTTGTCTTAAGAAAGACACAACTGTGTATATGAGGCCTCCACACAAGGCCCGCCAGCTTCTTGGTTCTTGGATGGTTTCTTGCAATTAAACTGGTGAAACCATTTCAAGACTGTGGTGTCATAGATCCAAGAACCTGCTTGTTTCAAACTATTTAAACACTACACCAAGAGCAGCTTAAGTCGTAGCTAACAATTAAATTGACATGAAACTATATACAATAACTCCTAACTTAGAAATAAAAGTGTTTTGTGGACATTTACGTTTGCATATGTACTGGATGTACATGTACGTGCATATATCCATACACTGGTATGTGTTGGACTAGTGATTATGATATAGTCCTCAACGTTTCCAGGATTTGAGTTCACCTTGTCAGAGTAGCCATAATGATTTGCCACCTGTTGTCACCAACATTTGGAACCATAGAGGTCAATGTGCTGCTATTAGGGTTATGGAGCTGGTCTGAGAGGTACTGGTCAGGGTTAGGGTTGAGGAGCTGGTCTGAGAGGTACTGGTCAGGGTTAGGGTTATGGAGCTGGTCTGAGAGGTACTGGTCAGGGTTAGGGTTAAGGAGCTGGTCTGAGAGGTACTGGTCAGGGTTAGGGTTATGGAGCTGGTCTGAGAGGTACTGGTCAGGGTTAGGGTTAAGGAGCTGGTCTGAGAGGTACTGGTCAGGGTTAGGGTTAGGGAGCTGGTCCGAGTGGTACTGGTCAGGGTTAGGGTTAAGGAGCTGGTCTGAGAGGTACTGGTCAGGGTTAGGGTTATGGAGCTGGTCTGAGAGGTACTGGTCAGGGTTAGGGTTAGGGAGCTGGTCTGAGAGGTACTGGTCAGGGTTAGGGAGCTGGTCCGAGAGGTACTGGTCAGGGTTAGGGAGCTGGTCCGAGTGGTACTGGTCAGGGTTAGGGTTAGGGAGCTGGTCTGAGAGGTACTGGTCAGGGTTAGGGAGCTGGTCCGAGAGGTACTGGTCAGGGTTAGGGAGCTGGTCCGAGTGGTACTGGTCAGGGTTAGGGAGCTGGTCTGAGTGGTACTGGTCAGGGTTAGGGAGCTGGTCCGAGAGGTACTGGTCAGGGTTAGGGTTAGGGAGCTGGTCTGAGAGGTACTGGTCAGGGTTAGGGAGCTGGTCCGAGTGGTACTGGTCAGGGTTAGGGAGCTGGTCTGAGAGGTACTGGTCAGGGTTAGGGAGCTGGTCTGAGAGGTACTGGTCAGGGTTAGGGTTAGGGAGCTGGTCTGAGAGGTACTGGTCAGGGTTAGGGTTAGGGAGCTGGTCCGAGAGGTACTGGTCAGGGTTAGGGTTAGGGAGCTGGTCTGAGAGGTTCACGTTCAGATGCTGATAGCATTTCTACTGCACACCATGCTGGCTCTACTAACTGCTCTAACATGCCTATTGGTGATGATCAGTCCTCCACTGTGGCCTTTAGCTGTTCCTGCAGTGCCAGTGTCCTGGAGCGCACACGCTGGCACATGCTTTCATCAGCAATTACAGGGGCATTAGACATGTTTTTAGCCAGCAATCGTTGCCCCGCTTCTACTTTATTAGCAGCACATCTTGATACTGGATCAGCAGATTATTTCTGAACTTTTGATCCAGCATCTGTTTCTCTCACACTCTGTCCTGTTCACTTCAGCTTCATGAAAAGAGATGTATCTGGCCCCATTCTCCCACAGTGAGCTCTCTCCTTTAGGTCCTGCGTAAGCAACATCAGCCACTCTCTGTTGTCTCACAGCATCCAGTAGAGCACAGGGTATTGGAAGACTACTGATACACTGATGTATGATGAGGGTATAATGTGCTGCTCTGTTAGCCTAGCGGGTAGCATTTACAAGATAATAAAGTCATGAAACATTTATATAAAATAGTGTGTTAGTAGTTCACTTTTAAGGCTTTTGAGAGAGCTTTGTAGAATATCTGTAGTTTTCAAATATCACACCATTTGTGCAAAGGATTTACAAAAACAAATAACCAAAATCTGTTGAATCCCATTTGTATTGTCATATATTAAAAAGAAAGCCAGAAGATTTGAAATAACAGCAGCTGCCAATTTTAGAAACAAACATGTATATTGTCAGGGCCTGTTTTTTTTTTTTTTTTTTTTTTTAAGCTTATTAGTGATCTGTTGAAAGTAAACTCTGAATTGTGTTTAATGTATGCAGAAGGCTATCCCAGAGTGGAAAAACTGTATTATCATTTACTGATCATGATTTAATTGTATTATAATTAAATGATAATGATATATTAGAGTAATTATATAATAATGTATTATAATTAAATTAACAAAATCACTTTGAAGTGTTTTTAACCTAAACTGACAATTAATTGATTTAGATTTTGTAGATAATCCCCTCCCATACAACAGTCCACGCAGAAGCAAGACTGCAACACCTGGAGTTGGTCAATCAACCCGATCACACTAAATGCATCTCTATAGCACGCGTTGTGTTTATCGTGCAATTTATACGCGAAAATGAGTTTTTACATGCATATGATAGGCTACGCATGGGTAGGTTTAGTGTCGGGTGCGTGTGTATTATACGTTTCGGTAGGATTAGTGGTGTGGTACGTGTGTATTACACGCTATAAAGTGCGTATCAAATGCACGTGAAAACTGCGTATCATATGCACGTAAAAACTCATTTTTGCGTATAAATTGCACGATAAACACAACGCGTGCTATAGAGACGCATTTTCATGAGATCATGAGTAAAATGAATATAGACAGAACCATGAATAATTACATAAATGGCATTTTAAACAGATATGTCATTCGATGCCTTATGAGGAAATGTAACAAAGAATTTGTTAAATAAATAAAAATTCCTGTTTGTGGCTCAGACTATCCAGAATTTTCATTCTAGTGCATCAACAACAGTAAATTTATTTAACTCTGTTTATTTTATAAAGTAATATAAAGTATAAATATATATATAATTAGTAAAGACAAAGTTTAAAATAGATTCCCAAATGTAAATGTTATCATTGACCAATACTGGGCGATTGGCGCTAGAGAGTGCCGCACTTTTCCAGAACAATGTGACTCGTGGGGACGGCAATATTCTGTGTGACCACCAGGGGCGCATAGATATACACTAACACAGATTTTTGTCTTGAAAATAGTCCTCATGAGGACTTCAAAAAAAACTACATGGGGCGTGTCCAAACACTGTTTGGGAGGTGCTAGTAGGGCTTTGCCGGTGGGGACCTCAATTTAGGTCCCCACGGTGACACGAGTCCCCACGAGTCTGTGTGCATTCAGGTTGAAGTCCCCACCGGGATAGAAAAACAAGAACACACACACACACACACACACACACACACACACACACACACACACAGTGCTTAGAATAAGTGAATACACCCATGCTAAAGTTGACTAAAAAATCATCTTCATGCCTTAATTAAAAAAAATGAGGAAAACCCCAACCTTTAGGGACACCAAATTTTCTTTGTGAATGAATAATGTATTGCAAATAATTAAAATGTTTTTCCTTAAAATACAGGGTGCATACGTCTGGACACACCTATGTTAAATTCCCATAGAGGCAGGCAGATTTTTATTTTTAAAGGCCAGTTATTTCATGGATCCAGGATACTATGCATCCTGATAAAGTTATCTTGGCCTTTAGAATTAAAATAGCCCCACATCATCACATACCCTTCACCATATAGACATGGTTTTATTTCAGTTAGCCTAATAGCTGGTTTGATTTGCATTGAGAGATGATCTTATGGAAAGTAGGCTATCCCATGCTAATCTCTAGGTATGGTGAAGGGTATGTGATGATGTGCGGCTATTTTAATTCCAAATAATAATAACAATAGCCTATAGGATGCGGCCTATAAATCGTTAAAAAGAAACACTTCAGTACACTAGAGAAAAATATTTGTTTATCATGTTACTTCAAATGTTTCCATTCGTTATTTAACAGTAAACATGGTTCTAAACATTATAATATTCACCATATTAGAGTAAACACTGATACTAGCCTAACATCATGCTGTGTTTTATTATCAAACATAAAAACATCATTGTGTCGTATGTATATTTATTTCCTGCCTATCTAAGCTATAGTTCATATTTCAACATGTTTCCGTCGATTTCATAAATTTTAGTCTAGCAACAGTTCAACTGGAATGTTAAGTTTATGCAACAATAACACTAACTAATATATTTCATAATACATTTCTTACCTTACATCTTTCTTGTCTTCAAATCGCGTTCTTCTTCTTCTGAGGTAAATCCAATGTAAGCTCACTGCGTGTCTTCCAAACTCGACGAAAAGCAGAGGACTTATGAAGTTTGGTGCTTTGTTTTTTAGGCAATGAGCGCGTTCGTGTTCCTGCGTGGAGATTTGCATATCAATCTCTTTTGCGCGCGTGGGCGTGGTCAATTTAAAAATAATGAGCAAGCGTTTGAGAAACTGGACATCTTGTTGGTTTTATACAAATTACTTAAACAGAGAAAACATTTTTTCGTTTTGAATCAGATCATTTAAAAGTTCACATTTAAATGATTATAAAGGTATATATATATATATATATCATGCCTGGGTGAATAGTATTCGCTGAGTTTTGTTTCAGTTTAGAGACGTGCTCCAAAGAAAAAGTTCACGGTGAAGGAGAGCCAGAAAGCACACCATGTTTATTTTCTTTATTTTACAAAAGCACAATGTTTTATTTCGATTGTAAGTGGACACATAAAAAAGAAGACATTTAACAGTTTATTTTTTCATATTTCTTAAGTCTTTATGACCAAAAATGATGGAGTATTTTAAGTCTATTTTGCTGCTATGTGAAAAAAATCTAGCAAAACGTGCCGGCGCGTTTGCCGACCCCAGAGGGTTAAGACCCTTGATCCTCACCTGACTATGGCTTTGTAAACTTTATCCATGATGTGGTTTATAATGGACTGTGGTACAGAAACTTGGCTTACTCTGGCTATTCTCTGCTGTCTCAGACGATGATATGTTTGTCCCGTTTTAGCAACCGTAGCTTCTTCGAAAGGGAGGGGTGAGCAGAGGGCTGAGCCATTAGTGCAACTCGCAACTGAACCGCTAGATGCCGCTAAAATCTACACACTGCACCTTTAAAGTACAGTATATGGGGTTGTTATTTCCGCTTGCCGTGAACCTTTTTCAGAGCTTTTGTGGGGAGGCACCCCTTGACATCTCAATTTTTGAGGACGCTGACTGTGATCACTGTGAGCATTTCTCCTTAAGGCTAACAGCTACTGCCTGATGGGATGAGAGTCAGGCTTCTGGTTTGGGTTCTGTGCCTGTTGAGGCACTACTGCGGCTTAGATCATGGAGTCGCAGGTGGAGTTGGAGGAGGAGGAGCTTGAGATGTGTGTTCCCATTTCTCTTACTATATCAACCAACTCACAGTATCTCATTTGGATTTGGAAGTTTGCTCTACAAATTCTTCCGATCCAAACAAGGATCCAATGTTGTCCGCATCTGGCTCCAGAGTTAGACATGGTCATACCTGACAGGGTTACAGCCTACTGTTTGTCTGGTCATACTTCAGGTCTTCTTCCTCCAGTTCATGTGCAATACTATTGAGAAAATGATTCCTATGTCAGACTTTGCTGCAGTGTGGCAACTTCTGCCCAGTGTCTCTCAGTGGGTCCTGAAAAGGTGCAGTCTTGCAAGATGTTTGTGCTGCAGCAGGCTGGTCCTCTCTGCACACATTCATATGAATTTAAAGTCATGACATCGTCATACAGGCATCGTCCCGGTGTTAGTATTGGCGGTACCATACCATCAATGCCATGACGCAGCATGGAGTTCTATTTGTAAGGGAATTTGTAAACCGGTTCCCTGAGAAGGGAACAAGACGCTGCGTCGCATTGCCACACTTCGGGCATGCCTGTGTGTCTTCCTTCAGACAATTAGAATCTGGGGATTCCGTGACATAGGTGAGCTTTTATGGTCACCTGACCTCTCAACAGCCAATCAAGATTACCATGTGTTCAAATATTGCATTCCCATATTGTTTATGCCATGACACAGTGCCTCGTTCCCATCTAAGGGAAATGGGCTACATACTGGAGCTCACATGAACCATTCTCCCCGACCACCTTTTTTGGGTAAACTCCAGTAAGGTTTTCGGGTGCGCAGCACACCCTAGTTTGGAAAACAGCATTCACACCAAACAAACCAATCTCTGACATCAGTCGAACCCGGGTGCGCACCAAAAGTGCTAGTGTGAAAGTACTTTAATGGGGTGCCATGGAAAAGGAAAGGCCAAGAAAAAAGTCCTGTCTTCTCCAATTGCAGCAAATCTGTTTTAAATCTAAATTGTTTTGTTTTTTTACCTCAGGTAATTAATATTTATTAGTATTTGTGACTCAAAGGGATTTTTTTTTATATTGCATATTACACAGTTTAAATACAGAATTACAAACTGAAATTACACATGTTTTTGATGAAAGCAACGAAGTCTTCATTTAATTTTGGATGCTTTAATGTCACTGTGGTAAAATGAGGATAAATCTAAATC